AGGTGGAAAAGGGAAACTCAAAGAGGTACCCGAGCTTTTTCGCAACGCAGCCCGCATGATGGCTTTAAATAATAAATACTTGCCCGCGAAAATAAACGGCGAGCCGCAGATGTGTGCGGGGCACTCGTTGGGCTGCAACGCTGAATTTCCTGCGAATATCGTTGTCACTGCTTGCAAGATCTTAAATTGGCCTGGCACTTTGTGCGTGAAGCTCTGCAGATGGAGTGAGGCCGATTTATGATAAGTGTATTTTACTTGATTCGAATTATGGAACTGCGGGCGTCGAGTAACTGCTGATAACATGATATCATGTGTGTTCAAATATAGATAATCGAAGAAAAAGCTTTACACGTACTTTAACTGTATAGGCTAAAGCTAGAGCTGCGATATAAATTCACGGTTATATATTTTTATGCCTGGCAGAAAAAGAGAAAAGCATTAGACTTATGCACGCGAAAAGCTGCAGAAACAAAACATTTATCGCGTGTCAGTGTGCTGCTTCTCGACCAGTTATTTTTATTTCTTCGTCGAGAGTAGCGCTTATTAATGGCGCTAGTTTAACGAGATAAGGTGTGTAACACGCAGTATAAAAAAGGATCGAAACCTATTTACTCGGGTGATTACGCGCTTGCGCGCACGAAGTCGTTGAGAAAAAAATCCGATATAAGTTTATAAAAGGTAGCTGTATTGTAAGAAAGCCAGCAGGAAGGTGTAGTTTTTCTAACGATGCGCTCGTAACTTTTTTTTATTTATTAAGTACATGTTCGTCGTTGCAAGGAACATATATTTACGTCAAAATGTACATGTAACTGTTTAAGCATTATGATTTACATTTCCAGATTTTTACGAGTTCACGTTTCAATTAATAATACGAAATTCTAGTTTTTTTCGAATTATGGAAATGCAGATCTTAGTTTCTTGTTTCTTCAGTTCATTAAACGATGAAGAACGGTAGCGGCAAATCTAAAAAAAACAGTACACGCCAGCGGCATTTATCCATTGCCAAGACTCCCGAAACGTAACGCCAGCTAGGTTCGTTAAAATTCATGGAATATTTCAGTGAGCGAATTATTAATAAACATAGATCTGCGCTTTGCGCACTCCAGGCAAGCTCCAAATGAAAAGGCTCGCTCTCACGCTAATTGCCGCGAGAAGAGTAAGAGAGCGTTATGGCGATTCCAGAGAGAAGTGACAAGCGCCGATATCGCCAGAGATAACGAGGCGTTTACTTAGTGATGCGCATCGCGCTGTATCGGCCGCCGCGTAATGAGATTCCCGAAACCAATTAAGTGCAGCCGAGAATTTCTTAACCCGAGAGCGAGAATATAACGATTGATGCGGATAAGACGACGTTGAGAGAGTAGTGAATTACGGCAAGTTTAATAGGGAATCCGCGACAAACTTTTTTCGTCTTTTTATCTTATCGGCTTGCTTTGTAATTTTCATCTTGGATTATGAGATGAGAGAGCCGAGCGATTATTGCGTTGTTTGATGTTTTATATAAGCCGTTGCGATTTTTTTCGAGGAATTAATGAGTACAAGTCAAACAGCTTTGAAGCCCTCGAGATAGGATGCTTTTCATGAGAATTTAGAGGACGAAGAGATGCTGTGCTACTGCTACCAAGATGCATTTTACATGTAATTATTATTATACTACAATTAGAAATGTACGCTTTTTTCCTGGAAGTTATACTGCTGCGAGACAGATCAATATTTTACTCTAACAATGACGCTGATATAAGTATCTTTTGTTTGTTTATTTTGAAAGAATGCAAATACGAGCGTGCAGTAGGAAAACCACGGTGACACATATCGAGGAAAGTAGGTATGTATCGTGAAAAAAAGAAGAATAAAAAGAAAAAATGATCGAGAGCTACAAAATGCTTACCGACACAAGTAGAGCATGTCATTCGTATAGAGAAACTGGAGAAAGTCTTATCGAGGGAAATGACCCGTGAGAGAGACGTTTTTCTTTTTTGTGCGCAGAGATTACAACGGGAGGCAGCGGTAATGATGAATCGAGGCGTTAAAAAAAAGTAGATACACAATGTATCGCATGAATCCAAATATAAGCTATGAGCAAAGTTGAGCAATTATTTGCAAAGATAAATTTTTCATCGATATGTTAAAATAAAAGAAGCGCGTGTATAATTCGCCCAACACCGTGCAACAAACTTGCCGCGAAAAGTTGCCTTCCAGCAAATCCTCGAAAAGATTTAAAAGACTTCACAGAGTAAAATCCCAAGAAAAATCCTATCTTACTACGGCTGCTATGGCGCTAAACAGGTGAAAACTCGAAAGAGCGAGAAAGAGAGAGAAAGAGGACGTCTACGAAATTAACCGCACGCATCTCGGATAAGCGGGCTTTGCTCGCATAATGCGTCTTTTCTATTTGCACAATCGTGTTCTCCTTTAAAGAAAACTCGCGCGCGCATGTAATCGGGTCGCGAGGCAAAAGTGCCGAGAAAGAAAAGTCGACGTTCTATTTCACTTCTTTTTAGCCAAATCGCTATGGTATTCCATTTTCTACGAACGAACGAACTGCTTGCTACTCTGTGCGCGCATTGCATTCAGAATTTTAATGGAAAGCAATTTCATCAATATCTCCGGTGTGTATACATACTAGAATTCAAGCTAAGAGCTTTGCCTTGCTGGACTCGGCCTTCTTTTTAGGGAGGAGGAAGGTGTTTTTACTGAGAATGCAGCACGCGCTTTATACACTGTGATACGCGTACGTCTACTCGAAATCACCAATGTCGTTTTCTGAAATGTTATGAAGAGCATTACGCATGTTCCGATATTACAATTTTTATTATTTTTTATTTTGTATAGTTTCAAAATACTCACGCGATTCGTTATAACAGTTATACACGTGAGCGAAAAAATATTTGTTCTTTATAATGATAATAACTCAATGACAATTATATGAAAGCTAAGCTGTGAATAAATAAAATAATTTTAGTTATAATTACTGCGCCACTAATTGTTTCACTATGTAGAATTGAATATCTTCACTAGTATAATTAAAATAGGAAAGTTTGATTGCAAAGGAATGGTCGACAAACAACTGGTACGATCAACGTATTTTAATGACAGTTCATAAATGTCATTTGACTCATAAAATCAGTTTTTTTTTATAAAATATTATGTGTCTGTATGCGTATACCTCTTACTTTTTTTAACATCTCCTGGCGATTGTTCAATAATTTAAGAACATTATTATATATCTTTCGACGAAGATAGTGATTAGTCTAACAAAAACATCAGAAATGATAAAATAAGATTGATAGGTTTCGATTTATAAAGCTTTAGAAACAGAGAGACAGAGAGAGAAAAGTTCAGCGAGCATGGTACATAATAAGCCTCGTCAGTTGAGCTTTTATCTCGCTTATATAGTTCCGCGCGGCGAAAATGATGTAATGCGCCACTATGTAGTGGATGAATAATCCACGGACTAATCTTATTATGCTATATGAGTAGACTGCGATTTTAATCGGGGAAAGTTATTAATGACGACATTCCAAGTTACATGTACATCTGATTCGCCAAGGCACATGAACTATAAAAACCACGTTGTGCGTTCTCGCATACTATATTATTTCTAAAGAAAGGGAAATTTATGCTCACTCTAATATCGGAATTGAATTATTATCCGAGTACGTCGAATGTCTATTTCCAACACGCGAATGTCTTAAGGAAGAAGGAGAAGCGTGACCCCGAGAAAATCGGAAGACTTATTACCATGGCGAATGGATTCAATGGATTCGGTTAGTTTCTCTCTACCTCTCTCTCTCTCTCTCACTCATTCTGTCGGTGCGGTTTAATCGAACGCCCCCACAACTATTACGTCACTTGTATCGAGATAACATTTGTGAGCGACGACGTGTTCTCGAAATTGAACAAATGTATTTGCTTTTAAATTTCATACTTTTCGTGAATAAATTGCGGGCTGCATAGCGCTCTATTCAATAAGGACATATGCTCACTTGCGAAATGTAAAGACCGTATTAAATCATTAATATTCAGTATGGGCAATAGCCGCGGTCATGAAAAGGCGAAGAGAAAAAACAATGTGCACTTATACTCGCCAATGCAACGCGAAGAGATGGATTGTCCATAAATCTCTATTCTTGGCAAGTAAGCGCAGACACGTCGCACGCCCAAACAATCGACCAACTTTGTTCCGAGAACACGCGCACGCGCGCACATAGGCCTCGGCGACAGAATCCTTTTCCTCCACGTCACTGTTCGTTGACTCTCGCAGTGCGAATCAAAGAAGCGCCTCGATCGTGCGTACTGTACACGGGGCTAATGGACATCACGCTTCTCCGAGATTGATACGACTGATATTCCGGCGCTTTAGCCCTGCTGCCTGCCGGCCCAGACTAATGGCTGTTTGATTTAATTCTTTTCGCGCGGACGCGTCGGGCGCGCGCCAACGTTACTGCTCTAAAGTGCTTTCGCGCCCAAGCGGTCGATTTGTTGATGTGACTTTCATTGGCTCTAGTTTTTTTTCCTTTCTCCTTTGCATTTTCTATTTTATATTTCGTGCTCAATTCAATAAGCACTGAAAACATTCGATATTTCTCGCTCATAGGTGCACCCATTTAATATATTAAAATTATGTAAATTGAAAATGCAAATGATGATGTCACTTCCTCTTGGCAAAGGAAATGCGCGTGTGCGTTGCAACGATCAGATGATTTCTTCCAAATAACAATAGGTGCATGAAAATCAGTTTGTTAGAGCGCAATAAAGGAGTTACTTTGTTATTTAAAATGAGGCATTGTGCGTGGTTGAGTTGAAAACTTGTACTTCGCTTTGAATCAATTGTGAGAAATAAATCGTAGCTTGTCAAGGACATTTAGCCTGAACATAATTGATTTTGCAGACAATGAAATACGTTTACAAATTGCAAATGTTTGCCTCCTATAACTATCCAACGAAAATTCGACATTGTAAAGGAAAAAAAGAGAACAGAAAGTTGAAATAATACTCACCTCTTGGCCTTTTATGTCGCGATATCGCACCCATTTTCCAAGCCTTGGCCGCCAGTAATCAAGTACATAGGCTTCAGCATATTCGACACCCACACCATTACCAAAGCGACCTTGGGTACCAGTCGCGGTAATCAAGTGAACCGTGTGCAGATCAATTTCTAGCCACTGATGAGGATCCGCGGTCACCGGCTCCTTCGGGCACCAGGCGCCACCGTGATTCTCCGAACGCAGCCTAAAGAGAAAAAAAAACATTTTTCATTCGGAAATAACTGCCGAGTAAATCCCAATCAACGCTGTATATTTCATAGCCTGCTACGTGGCTCTCTATGGTTGGTTGCTTTCTCACACCTTGAGTCACAGAATTCTTTATTGCCGGTTGAAAAATACTATTAGGTGCAGATTAAAGACAGAATACACAAATCAACATCTAGTTATACTTAATACAATTTATCGCGAAGGAAATGTACGTTGATGAGTTAAACTTATACGAAAAGCGTTTAATTATGTAAACGATTATCTTTATACTTTGAATTGCAGTGACAAATTTCAATGCCATAAGTGAAGAGATGACAGCCATATAAGAGCTTGAGGAAAAGACTTGAGTGGTCGACGATGAGATTGAAATTGAAAGACAGGCAGAAAAAACATGAGCAGGGCACTTGACACTTAGTGATATTGATAGGTTCATGAGTGGCTATTTATTGACGATTCAACAACGTCGCGATGTAATTGACTTCTGAAAATAATCATATAATTTTGTGTGCAACAAACGATCAATTTCAAAAAGAAACCGTGGTGAATAATACATTGTATAATGTAATTAGATGAGTTTTGCTCTTTGGCGCAGAATATTGCTTGCATATATCCGGCGATAATTAAATTAGACGGAAGAAATCTGGAGATCAGCAAAAAGCAGAGCAGCAGAACACAGAGCAGACAATAAATCGTGGTCCATTTTGTAAATTTCGCGAAACCACAATATCCGAGGAGCAAAAGCACTTTCCCAAAAAGCTCGGGCGGCAGAGTAGCGGGCGAAAAAAAGACTTGCATTGATATCGGCTGAAAAACAAAGGGAAGTCTGTGCGCTCGCAGATCGAGCGTGCTTTAGTTTTAATCTCGAGGGAGAAGAGGAGAGTAGCAGTGGTGGCAGCGGCCGCTTCGCGTGGCATGAATAAAAGATGAGAATGGGAATGGCGTGCGAAGCGCCTTCCCTAATTGCACGGCCCGCCGAATCTCCGGGACCAGTACTAATAATCGCGTTTTACATTCATCAGTCCAAAGCGATCCAACCAAACCAACTCGCCGAGGACCGGCGTGTATATGTGTGCATGTGTACGTGTGTACACTCTGGGTTTGCAGGTCACATCGGGAGAGCGCTTTTTACTTTTTTTCCCGTCGACTCGACCCTGTGCAGCGTACAACGCGGTTATACGTGCTTCATGGTATATTGCTTTTTACGCTCGGATTTCTTCCTTTTTCAAAACAAAGAGATTTATCAATGTGAAAAATTCATTGCACATTCTAAAACTGATTTTCATGTCGAAACATTCGTAAGTCACGTTAAACTATGTTGTATCTGCGATTCTTTGGGAGGTTGAGTTGGGGAAGACGTACGTAGCTAATATTTGGAGTAATATTTCATAAAAATGTATGTACGTGAGCAAGTTATTACTGTGTGTAGCAAGAGAGCTTGGCAAGTAGCGGCAGTACTACTTCGCTATACAACTAAATTTCCCAAAGGCTTTGTCATGCACCTAGAACTTCTATTTATCATGTAAAAGCAGCCTCTGTTACGTGAATTTTCCATGAACGCAATGCTTTGTTGTGTGCGGGACTTAGAACCATTTCGAGCGGAATATCAAACTTTTGTTGTCAATTATGCGTATACTGCTTGGAATATTATAGAAATGTTAAAATATATCTCACTGCTCTGCAAAGGCGCAACCATTATTACTTTGAGGAAATAAAATTAGAAGCGTTATATCAATATAAACTAATCAAGTAGAACGTAAAAGTTGAAAGACGTTGAAGCGCAGGATTACAGGTCAAGCGCAGAGGCGATGAGGGTGTATAAGTATCGACCGAGATAAGGAGTCACGTACGTCGTGAAGCGAAATAAAGTTAAAGGTCGCGCGCGACTTGACGACGGAGCTCGAGCTCAAAGCTAAACCGTAGAGCAGCGAGCAACCGACTCTTTAGCGTCGCTCACCCCGCGAACGAAACTTCAGACTGCTGCTGCCTGAAACTTGGCAAAACAATAATGGCGTGATATTAAACATCGCGCAAAGCGTTGAGAAGGTGGTCTATTCTTCGGCGCCGCCCCGTCGCGCGTCACAGTGCGTATACTCAAGTTTCTAATATACGTGCCTTCTTACGTGGATAATTGAAACGATAAACAATCTCCACTCTGACGTTTCGGGCGATATATAAGTGTGCGGCTTTGCGGAACACGCTGCTGCTGATGATGAAGACGTTTTTTACTCGCGTACCACGTTGCTGTGACCTCCTTTCGCCACGATATCATACTTACGCGTTTTATGCTTTTTAAGAAGTAATGGCTACATTTTTAATAAAAAGTCGTGTCACATTGGCAGGTTTTATGTGGCATTACTTTTATTTTATAAAAATTCGAAACTTTAATTTTTTTATGGAAAATAACCCAACGCTTTGACAATAGGTTTGACGAATCTAAACTCTTATTCCGTTTTCCAAAAGAGTACTACACTTTCTTTACTGTAAGGCTGGCTCTTGTGAGGTCAAAATTTTTATGGTGAAAGCACGTCAGCTTTTGGCGTAAAACTAAGATCCTTTAGAAAGATTTTTCACAAATTTATGGTATTATTGTCTGATGGGCGAGCTTGGAACTCAGGTCACAGTGTTTTCAGAGGTCTGCTCTAATAGAAGCTCAGAACGAAAACAAGGTGCTAAAAAAATGAAAATAGCGGATCTCGACAAGTAGCAGCTCGCGAAAATGATTAAACAAATATTCATAGCTTAATAAATGCAAAATTCTTAGGGTGGAACAAAAGAAAGAAAGAAGTCGATGTGAAATTTAATCAAGCGCTAAATTAAGAATGCTCACGCTATTCGCTGCAAGACCAGTATATAGCACATTCGGCGTGCGACAAAACCAAGAGCTCACCTCGAGGAGTCGAGAAAAAAGAAGACAGAGGGAGAGAGCCGCGAGTGAACAGCAGAAAGGAAGCACATGTGCGGAACAAAGTGACTCGCTGAAATTTAGAAGGTACGCCGACGACGACAAGGAAGCGCTTCTCTCTCTCTCTCTCTCTCTCTCTCTCTCTCTCCACGCTTCTAAGGAGCTCACCGAGGCGTTGACATCGTGACTCAACGCCCGCGCGTTGCCGTTTATTTGCTCGCCTTCTTCCCGTCTTCAGCTACTGCTGCTGCAGGCGGTAATCGTTTCATCCTGCGCTTTCATGCTTATTTGATGTTGAATTATCTCTCACCCCGACTCACGCCTTTTTCTCTCTCACTCTGCTATCTTGTTACTGCATGAATTATTTACGATTATGCCTTTTGTGCTGAGAGCCTGTCTTATTCAAGTAGGTTTCTGATTTCTTTCTGTTTTTGTGTCCTTCAAAAGCCAACTCCCAGGAGAGCGAGAAAGACAGTGTGAGGATTTCAAAAGCTGATACTCGTTATTTTCTGTTAGTTGCTGCTGCTTCAACGTACGTCGCTAGGCTGTTATTTAGCCAAAGAAGACGTTCTCGTTTGGTTTACTCGCAGCGGTTGCGGTTTACGGGACCGTAACCAAAAGATTGGAGCTTTCGCAAAGACCTTTTATATAGCTGAGGAACACAGTTTATTTTTGCAGACTCATCTTCAAAGATTACGAGTGCCTCAAATATTTTAATAACAGAGATCAAAGACCCTTCTCACCATTTCTTAATTTTTATCAATTTGCCTTGGACTATAAAATACAATTATTCGATGCTGGAAGAAAATTTTCCATCTCGCAACAGCAACACAGCACCCAGATACAAGAAACTGAAAAAAAAATTGCCTGGCGCACCCCTCCGACCATATGATAACTGCAAGCATCATCTCTCCCCGTGTCCCCCACGCAACACACAAACCAATTCTCACCAAACCACGTGCATTAGTACTGGAGGTCCCCAGAGCGTCTGCACGCACACATGCAGCTTGCGAGGGGAGGGTGGTGAACATCAGCAGCGACGCAGCACCAAAAACGTAGCGCGTTGCACGCGAGGAACGAGAGGCACCCCGTGTACGTGTGTGGCTACATCGAGAGAGGCTCGATTAAATTAGATGCCGAGGACCAGCCCCAAGCTCATCAGCGCGCGGGACGACCATTCAGCCTGTCATTGTCCGCGGTAATGGAATGTATTAATATCGGACGAACTAGGCCTATAACGTAGAGCTTCCCACGGGACGCAAGCACAACCGTACATGTAGAGAGTGATCTTTCGCTGCGCCTCGCATCGCATTTACGCACTGTACCACTCGCATTAATAAAATGAATCGCCTGTGCGACGAATCTCTTTCTAACTTGTACTTGTGCTGGAAATGAGATTGCCAGGCAGGTTATTTTCAGAAACATTAAAGCTGTTCCTGACTTCCTTTGTGAGGTTTGTAAAACGCTTACACGACAAGAACTACATTAATAACAGTTTTATTCCAAAGCTCAAATTTACCTACTGTGTTGATCTTATGTTCTAAATCAACCTAGAAATGAATTAATGGCACATGTTTTCGTTAAAAAACTTTAGAGCGTTGATAATTTCACTACGAAGGCATTATATTACATGCCCTACAGCCAAGTGTAATGGAGCAAAAATCTTTCCAGTCATCAAAGTTTAATTAAAACATACTTTGTAATTTTTTACATAGTAGGGTTTGCTAATTAAGTAAGTTGTTTAATCAACCCCTTTTGTGACGAATTTTTAATTACTATAAAACAAGTAAAATCAATTGAAAATTATAATTTCAATTAAGAAAACTCTTTACAAAAAAGGTATTGAATAAACTTGATCAAATATTAAAGTTTTTATTCCAAAGTCGAAAAGCTAACGATTGCAAAGATAATACGGGGGTGTCGAGACGAAGGAGTGTGAGAGGCACGAAACTATGAAGTACGCCTCGTCGTCTCAACCATGAGCTCAATTATTCAGCGACGCAATTAATAAGTGATTATTTATTCAAAATACGTGCGGAGCTGCGTCGGATGTACGATTTTATGAGGCGAGACTCACGCGTATCACTCATTATACTGCTAACGTATAATGCTTCTCGCGTGAACAATGTTCGAGCTATCTTTATTCTTGACAGCCATTTTTGATGGTTCCAAAAAAACAAAAAATAGAGCTTGCACGATCAAGGGGTGAAGACTTTTGGAATTGAGTTTTTTTTGTAATTACGCATTCATAGCCGAAAAATTCGTTCCAGTTTTACGATTCGTATTACTTCAGCAGCTACACGAAGAGCTTTTGATATAAAAGTAGGGCAGATCATAAAGTACTTGAGGGAAGACATTTTTCACAGAATTCATTACGTACAATTTCCTGCGAGCACTCCTTTGACGCTTAACGATGTCGTAGGGAGAGCATGCGAAAGCGGAAATGAGTTTCTCTTTTTTCAAATTTGTGTAACATTTTTCCAATGACGCGCGGGTAACATCAAACACGAAAAATCTTTTTTACATGTGACGCTGACGCAAATAAACTTGTCTAGTCAAAGATTTTATTCCCCTTTTCACTTAATGATTTTCCGGGTGCGCTGTTCGAAGAACTTTTCAATTGAATCTGCGCTGATACCTTAACGGTGCAAGTTTGTTAAAAACAAAATCGTATAACACGCAATAACAGAAAAGACTCGAAGCCGATAGTTTGAAAAGTATCGAAGAAAAAACTAGAAGCAGATACGCTGAGTGCAATGGCTGTAGGTATGTATATACTGACCGAGCTTGATGAGGTCCAACGTTGCCGCTGTCGAAGCTCGAACTGGCCGTGATGTCGGCGTCGGGTATCGCTCCGGTCTCCATGCCCAGCGGCGCGATGCATTGTGCTGCAAATGTGTAAAAAAGAATGAATGAATGAAGGTTTAACAGTAGCTCTCAAGCCTTCATAACCGGAGATTAATCTACGAGGGAAGAAGCACCGAAACGGTACACGTATTTTGCTATCTTAAGTACCGATCTAATCGGTTCATACATAAAAGCCTGTGCACGACTACCGACTCGCAAGATAATGCTTTGTTAGTTTTAGGTGTACTTTAGACGTACGAGTTGTTTGAACGAACAAAATATTGGGCTTCCATACGATGCTAGATAAAACCAATTAACATGGAAATTTTTCCGCAATGTCGTGCGGCCAATTTTCCATTTTTTACTGCGAAATCCGCGCGATGAAACTTTCCATCAGCTGTTGATTTTTCATTAACTATTTCTTGTATAACTTAGTCTCGATGAATGACTCGCCAAGCTGAAGAAATTCCATAAAGATTGAATCTTTATGAATTTTAATCAATAAAATAATATTTTATCACAATCTTGGCATTGCTGACTTTACTCTCAATGAATAACCAAAAATGAGAGACAGTAATTCACTCAATATAAAGAAGGTGCTCTATCGTGTGAGAGCAATCGTGAAAATACGCATCATGGACTGCCGAAACGCTTGCGTTGCCAGCACAAAATGACGCGTCGACCTCCCCCCCCTACCCCCCGCTCTCTCTCTTGAAAGTAGATACCATCTACTTTGCATACATTATCCCATCGTCGGCTCGTTCGCAGAAGGCGTTGCCCGATCGAGAGTCATACCTTTCTCCCGACGTTGATATTCGCGTTGGCTCGTTAACGAGCTTGTTTTTCGGGGTGGGGAAGTTAAGTGACGCGTGAATACGGCAACTAGGCAGCTCGTATAATGCGTGTGTGCATGCCCCAGAGAGAACATGACGATGTGCTGCGCGAACGCACGGAAGTATTCCTAAATTAAGCGTATACGGTTTTTGCATGTAAATTCGAGCAACTCTCATGCATTTGTGTGTGTGTGCATGTTGATTGAAAATGTTGGACGTTACGCGAGTGCGCTCTTCATATTAGGTTGTTACAATGAAGAGACTATTTTAAATGCTTCAAGCTTTTTTAACGTAATGTTGGATGGAAAATATAGTTTTTAAGAAACTGGAAATATATCCTATTAAGTTGTCGTTGCAACATACGTATTTAATAATTTAAAGCAAATTTAAACGTAATTTGCGTATATACTTGGTTGACTGTAGCAAATTACTGAATGCTTTTATAAAACGTTTTGTATCCTTATAAAAAATGAAAACCAATAAATAGTCACTTTCTAAAGGATTTAGAATAACTACTTTTATTTCTTATTTTTTATTCTTTTTTATATGGACATTATATGGTTCATCGACAAAATTCGTAGTAACTTTTGCGAGTTTTCCATCGAAGAGAATTAGGCCTCGAGCAATTTTTTTAGTGAAAACAATACGCACATGAAGCATTTTCAAAATCTTGAACAAATAGAATATTCATCCGAAATGTAAAAAGATGGTTATTGATCTTCCATCTACGTAAAGTTACATATTACGTATAAGCTACAATATTGTTGCTTGCCGCTTTAAAATTAAACATCTTGATTTTTGATTACCAAGATATTTCTTATTTTGATGCAGCTTTTTTCTCTACTGTTGATCGATGGTAAGTTACAGAAAGTTTAACAGAGCTAATTCCATAAGTCAATTTGAGCTGATCATTAAAATAATAAATTAATTCAAGTTGATCATTTGAACTTGGAACGCTATAATTGATCGAAAGTACACAAATTTGCATTGAAGAAAAACAAAGCTTCGAGAAAAAAGGAGCGTTTACATTTCAAACTACTAAAGACGTCTGGCGAAAAGGGCATACAATAAAGTTCGCGCCGTCGCGTAGCTTTTCCATTCACAAGTAGGTCACAATAGCGAGAGAGCTGAAGAACGAGAACTTAATTAAAAGAGCGTAAAGAACGAACTTTATTATAAAACCAAGGGATTAAAAGTTGAAGGATTGAGATTACTCGACAATGGAATACTGGATTAGCCGCCAGCACAATACCAACCCTCGCGTACCGCCCTTCGAGACTTCAGTCCTGCTAGAAGTTCAACGTTCCTTCGCTCGCTCACTGTTCTGCCTTGAATTCGCGATTCTAACCGGCGACGACCGATCATTAGCCTGCGTACTGCCATTTAGCTCAGGCGCAGTCTTGTATTACCAACCGACGACGACGGAGTTTGAGACGTTCATTGCTTTCCCTCTCTCTCTCTCCCTCTCTCTCTCTGTTTATACGGGTTTGTACGTTAGTATAGAAAATTCAGCTACGCTACGATCGACCCACGCTAATATTTAGTATCCACTCTGCCCCTTGCAGTTTGAGAAAGTTGCAAAGCTATCTGGGTTATGCACCGACACATTTTTTTTTCACGGCAATTTCCAAAGGAAAACTTTTTTCTTATCCACATGTCATCGTATGATCTAGAAATTAAACTAGATTCTAATCAATTAATTTGAATGTAAAAAGTTACACTTCGTTAAAGTGAGGAATCAATTCAATTTTATAGAACTTATCTTTTACCGAAGATTTTCTATATTAATTAAACCAGATCTGTGCCTACGTATGACACACTGGCTAGGCGAACGACGAAAAAGTTTCGTGCGACAGAAACGATTACCCATAGCTTCTTTCAACGAGTAATAGCAGTTAATGGATGCATCGGTGAAGAAAAGAAGTCAAGAACGCATTAAAATGACAAAATAGCTCGAAAGATTAAACACTAGCGATAAGTTCTGCGACAAAGTATACAAAAAAATAAATGCACCTTCGGCTGCCGACGAGCAAACTCGTTATCGGAGAGAGAGAGAGAGAGAGCGCGGCGATGACGCCCATGCGAATCGGCTGCAAAAAAAAGTGTCATAGCCGTCTCTCAACGAGGATTTATGGCCGTTCAATTGGATACGCTCTCTTGGCAAAAATCGGTCGCGATATTTTTAATATACGATTCTAGCGACACACTCTCTACGTAATCTTTCTCAAAATTTTTATTTAAAGACGCTTTCCAAAATAGGGTCAGTTGCAGTCGACAAATTATACTTGTTCAGTCTTGATTAAAAAAAGCTTTAGTCTAGTTTTATTGAGTTATGTGTGTCAATTAAAGCTTTTGTCGATGCCGCTTGGTCAACTTGAATAATTTAGTATTACTTGGTCGATTACCATATAAATCTTTCACAACTGATTCGAATGTGCACTTTTTTCATCACTCAATAAATATATTTAACTAAAACAACTTTTTAAAATACAAATTGATCAAGATCAAATTAATTTTACAATTATTTATTTATATTTCATAATTTTCTTCTGTATTTAGTTATACTTGAATAATAAGAGCGGAGATCATATGAAGCCGTGTAATTAAAATGTCTTATAAATTCAATCAACGACGACCGCTTTTTGAAGTCTCACAACGCATGAGCCACACGCACACATTCAATTATCAGTTTTCTCAAAACTCGTCGTCAACTCCGGTGCAAAAATAAACGTAGGCTTATCTTGGAATTCAGACATCTCATCTGCGTCCAAGAGCAGCAGTTAATTTAAAAAGTAAAACGAAACAACAAAACAAATATATGAGTGTGCGCGCATTGCGAAACTTACAAAGATCAATGGCTCCCGCCGTCGATGCGAGGACGAGGAGAAGCGGAGCGATAAGATCGGAGAGAAGACAACCGAAACTCATCGTCGTCGTCGTCGCTTTTCAGCCTGCCCTCACCGCGATGCTGATGATGCGCCAATGGTCAACGTCATGTCGGTCTGCCGCTATTGCTGTTGTGTTCTTATCTGTAACAGAAAATGAATGATTCCTTCGTTAAGCTACTCGCATTTTTCCATGTTACATTTTTTTCCGTAGAACTGAATGAATTATAATACAAGTTCACAGTTTTGCGCTTCGCAAATCTTTATCGATGATTTGTAATTAAAGGCAATGGTGAAAAATTCGGTAAATGATATTCGTATTGTAAGAGGTAAATGCACTAACAATTGAAAAACGTCAGCAAGTTCAATGCTTGATAAAGAACAGATTGCAGTGTTTTCAAAACAAACAGCAAGAATGTTCTTTTACAGATGTCAAAGTTTAAATCGAATATTGACTAACAGATATATGTGAATATAATCGCTAAACAAAACATACATAGTTATACTATAATTTAATACAATAAATGTTTTCATCCAAATAGTTTATCATAAGTTACAAATAAAGTTTTTTCAAATTAGATACAAAAATGAGTTTCATTTATTTGGAATACTCCACTTGTTTTGTAGTCAATTATTGCTTCTACTGCCGACTGGTGGCGGTGATTTGTATCTTAAAATAATGTAACATCAGTTTTGAGATTGTTTAAAAAAATCAATTAAATCTCTTTATTGCCATTAAATAAGTCAAAAAAGGCAAATAACCAGTGCAATTTAATCAAATATATAAATATAGAACGTTTATCCAAATTACAGAGTAGAGCCTTAACGATATTCCTAAATTATGCCATCATTAGTTTGATGCATAAGCAATGGATCAGAACGAAAGTAGGCAAAGTAAAGCATGCACGCAGCTGCGAAGGTAATCGTAGTTTGAGATCAGTGAAAAGCATGTTCAACTAATGCAACCCGTTGTCGCGATCGGTTGCTGATGAAAGTCCAGGGAATCGCATTTGCATCTCACTCACCAGAAGTGCCTGTGTGCTCAACTTGTCTACGTGTATAGGAAACTGCGACGGCAACGACAGCAGCAGTGTGCGTTGTAGCAAAATTATACTTGTTGCGATAGACCTCGATTATGACTTAAGTATATGCAGGGACTGTGTAGACAACTTGCCGGACACACATGCATATAGCCCATTGCATTTATAATGTAGTGTACATTTAACAGGCGTGTTGAGATAACCAGCGAGAACGAGAGAAAAAAATTCCAAAGTCGATATCTTTAGTAAAGTGATTGTCGTTTGGGTTGTTTATCTGCGTTTATTGAAAATTATTATCTTTTACATACGTGGCTTAGATATCTGAATTATAATTGACCTGTAGATATATTGATATTAGCTATTCCCTTCTGGAGCAATAATTTTCATAAATATTAAGTTAATTATTTGTGAATACGAAATTCATTGAAGGCAAACCAGAAAGCAATTACCCGAGATTATTAATGTAAAGTCGATATAAAATTTATCCGATTGGAAATGGAGTCCTCGCAAGTTAAGTTTACTGAGTTATGTATAAGCAGCAAGAACTCAAATGTAATCTGGAATTTTCTTCACTTTGTCGATAGTATTCTTATTGGAACGCATCAATAGGGTTGTTAAAAGAATATCAAATACCATTCCAATAAAAAATGGATGGAAAAAGAGAAAGAGAGAGAGACGAACAATATCACAAAGCTTTTTATTGTTTCTTTGTTGTAATAGTAAACCAACGATAACTGCTAACGAAACAAACAAATTATTAATCTCTTTCGCCAAGTGCAATCAGTAGCAGTCTATAAGCTAAGCCTCGAGCTCTCCAATATAGAAAGGTATAAACGTTTAGCGTGTAAAGACAGCATGTATGCATGAACAGTACGGGGTAGGTTAAGGTCTCTTGCTGTAAAAAAAGCAATAGATATAAACGAAGGGGTTGATACGTTGCACGCCGTAGCTTAAGGGAAAAGAAAAAAAATTACCGGTAACAATAAGCGCACGGAAAATACTATAGCTACCGCTTACACAAAGCCACACTATACGCAAACGTGTGGCACGAGAAGGGAAGTAAGAAAAGCTGCTACGAAAAAGAGAGAGAAAAAGCGCAAGTAGTAAAGCTAAGAGGACAGAGTAAGTGGCTGAGCGCGAAACAAGAGCAGAGTAAAAGATAACGTTGACGTTCACCGCATCAAAATGGCGTCTACGTTAAAAAAAAATTCCGTCCTTTTTTTTAATCTTAAAAAAGTAAGCACATTGGTGCAAAAAATACGTTTGAAAAAGTGTATTCGCACTATACAAACGAGGAAAATAGAATAAAATACGGCCAAGCTATACAAGTACTAGAGCTCAGGTGTGCGGCGAGTTGGCGAATTGTTGCAAAGTTTGAATAAATGACGAGAGGAGTGCGAGTGAGAGAGAAAGCGCGAGAAGTCGCCTGTGGGCCGGTTGATGCGACATATACTCGCTAGTCCGAGCCTAGCTTCCTTGTATTCTGATCTATTAAATTTACATGCCGTCTTCAGGACTGTGTATACATCCTAGAGGTCAGTGCTTGTTCTTTCACAATTCTACAGACCCGGAAATTAATCCTGATGTGGTTTTCAAACAAGACAATCAAATTAAATTGAAATTTGTACAAAATCTCTTGCTTTTTTTCGAGTGAATGAAAAATCTGATTTTCTTAAAGATTAAAATTTTCATGGCAAGGTAAATTTTTTGTGAGCTTTCACAATTAAGCAAATTTTTGCGGCTAAAACTTTTGGTATGAGAAAGATGTCATGTAAAGTAATGGAAACTTTTTACTTTCTAGCGCGTGCTCTTTTCTTTCATTTTTGTCTGGCGCTTGTCTTATGAGCTTCTTACGACTCGCAAGCCAAGAGTGAGAAAACTTAGAGAGTGGAATCCGCATGAGGACTGTAATGTATCAATTTTATTAGTGGAACTCAAGCGCTTGGAACGCCTTAGCCATCCTTTCAACATTCTTAAATCAAGATTCCACTTTAATTTTATAATTGGTGATACTCGCAAGATTTCCTGATTCTACGTTTTTATGAAAATTTAGTTTCGTTATCAAAATTCGATATAGTTCTGACAACCTTTTCTTTACTATCTGTAATTGACTGTATTGGATTATATCATGTTGTGTAAAGCTTTCGTTTTCTATAAAAGTGATTTGAAAATGTTTCTTACTTATCTTATTATAGTAATGACGAATCGATTTTCCTAGAAGAGTCATTTTTATTCATATTAGGTATATAAATAAACGAAGAATCATTTGCATAAAATTACTACCTATAATGCATGGTAAAATCTAGATATATTTACATTTTAAAAAAGCTATAATTTTCAACAAGTTGAAAGTTAATTATTAACGGTACTTGAAACTCGAATACAATCCTGTGAATTCTACTTTCCACGTTCCTTTAAAATCGTGTAATTATCTTCTCTTCAATAACATAATAATTTTCCTCGAATATCATTACATTTATAAATTTAACTAAAAGAATACAACATTTAAACAAGAAATTAATGACAAATAGAAAGCTTTAACTCTTTCTTCAGATCTTCCTCGAAGCGTTCTCTCTCTATCTCTCAAATACTTTTATATCTCCGCAAGTGTATTTAAAAAGCCTCTCTAAAGCCTTGCAGGTGGAATTAGTCGTCTCTCACGGCGGCGGCGGGCGTCTCGCGCGGAATAATCGAGGCCCAGCATTAATCGAAGATCCCTTCTCAATAGAGTCGCCGTTCGGCCTTACACTTAGCGATTCTCACGTGCGGCGCCTGCTGCTGCCTCTCTCGCTCTCCTCTCTCTCTCTCTCTCTCTCTCTCTCTCTTCCCATTTGCATAGGAATGAGTTTATGCAGATCAATACAAGCGAGCGCGCGTGTACCTATAAATTTGGACACTCGTCACGCATGCTACTTTTATTTGCCATATAAGAATTGTTTCTCGAGTCTTGTTTTCACATCGTGTTGTAATTTTGATGCGCTTGTTGTCGGTGAGTGTCGTGTATTTGTGTTGAGGGATATCGATTATGATAATGTATTTTTACTCTTATGTTCTCAGTAATTCCTCAGAAAATGTTTGAATACAAGAAGTTATAATTTTTACGACTTGTTTTCTGCAACTTATCATGAATATTCGTCGTCATGTTTGATTTCAAGATAGATGAGAATATTATGTAAACTGTACAGCAAATATCATGTAAAAAGTGCCATAATTGCCGTGTTGTATACTCAATTAGTAGTTCATTTCTTATGGTGGGAGATAACGATTTAATAGCTGATCAAGCGCATTATTTATCTCGCAGCAAAACATGTAAAATATCGTTTCCTAATACCCTTCTCGAAACCCATTTACATGGCTGATGTCGAAATTGAAAGGGTGATTTTTATCGAAAATATATAGACGCTGATATTTTGAATTAGTCCGTAATTACGATGGTTTTGCATCGACAAGATCGTTTCTTAATACTGACTTGGCATTAAATCAAGCAATGACTATAACAGCTTACTCTCTCTCTCTCTCTCTCTCTCTCTCTGCAATACAATCCAGGGAATGATATGAGAAATCTCCCGAATGTTCACGCTTGCCTAAGCTCCACAAGCGTTATATATCAAACACAACGAAAATTGCCTCTATTTCAGTGCTGCACTCTGCTCTTCGAAAACAAAACCGCCTGGAGCATCATCTCTTCGTATTCGCATCTCTATATCTTTACGGCTGCGTGAACTAACAGTGGCAGTTACACAAAAGGGCTCTAAACTCAATATATACCAAACCAACAGTTTCCCTTTTAATTAAGTGAAAAACCTTTGAAGTCTTTCTCTCGGTTGCAGTGTGTATGCGTGAGCCCAGAAAAAAGAACCCTCGAGGTCTAACGCGATTTTATCGCTTGGCAACTAAAGGTTCTGACGGAAAGGGTGAAAGAAACTATGAAAGACGAAACTGCTGATTCCTTTGAGTGTTAAAAGCAAGGTGGGCAACGGCTATGATTTCTTGGAAACGCGTAGAAAAAGAAAATGAGGATGTCAGGTCTGAGTGACAGTGAGCCTGATGAATTCATTTGCATAATTGAAGCCATAATTCGCGATCGCCAGTTTACTCAACACC